ACATTTGCTGCCAGAGCTGGGACAAGGCGATGGCCAGGCTGTCACTTCATCTTCTGCTGCGGCATCTGCGGCACCTGCTGCTGCTGCTGCTGCTGGACCGGCATCTGCGGCTTCCCGTGGCAGCTGGAGCCACCAGAGCTGTGACAGCCGCCACCGCCTGAGCTGTGACAGCCACCACCACCAGAGCTGTGACAGCCACCACCACCGGAGCTGTGACAGCCCCCAGAGCTGCCACCGGAGCTGTGACAGCCGCCACCACCGGAGCTGTGACAGCCGCCACCGCTGGAACTGTGACAGCCGCCGCTGCTCTGGCGCTGCTGCCGGTGGCATTGGTCCTTGTCCTGGCGGGAGCACATGGCGCTGTGCTGGGTCACCTGTGGGGACACAGCAGCTGGCAGGGGTTTGTCCTTCCTGCTCCTGCCCTTCCAGGCAGCAGGAATCTGGGTATTCCTTGTCCCAGTCCCAGCCAGATCCCACATTTCTGCAATCCTGATGTTCCTTTTCCCAGTCCCAGCCAGATACCACATTTCTGGAATCCAGGTGTTCCTTGTCCCAGTCCCAGCCAGATCCCACATTTCTGGAATCCTGATGTTCCTTTTCCCAGTCCCAGCCAGATCCCACACTTCTGGAATCCTGATGCTCCTTTTCTCAGTCCCAGCCAGATCCCACACTTCTGCAATCCAGATGTTCCTTGTCCCAGTCCCAGCCAGATCCCACATTTCTGGAATCCAAGTGTTCCTTTTCCCAGTCCCAGCCAGATCCCACACTTCTGGAATCCTGGTGTTCCTTTTCCCAGTCCCAGCCAGATCCCACATTTTTGGATCATTTTCCTCCATGGCATTGTCCCACTGAAGGTGCTGGGGACGCCCAGACTTCACAAAATCAGAGCCAAGACCCCAGACCCTCCCTGTCCCAGCCACATCCCAAATTTCTAGATCCTTTTCCCCTCTGGCATTGTCCCAGCCAGATCCCACATTTCTGGATCCTTTCCCCCCTGGCATTGTCCCACCCAAGGTGATGGGGACACTCAGGCCATGCCTGGCTTTCCAAAATCAGAGCCAGGACCCCAGACCCTCTCTGGCTGGACTAGGAATAGGAATCCCAGTGTTCCTTGTCCCAGTCCCAGCCAGATCCCACCTTTCTGGATTGTTCTCCTCCCTGGCATTGTCCCACCAAAGATGGGAAGTTTGGAAGCCATGCCTGGCTTTCCAAAACCAGAGCCGAGACCCCAGACCCTCCTTCCACATCCCCACTTCTGCTCCCTCTGAACCCCTGGGCTCCCTCCTCATCCACCCCAGAACAAATCCCAGCCCCGTTCCGGATCTGGGGACCCAAACTCACCCCCGCGATGGCTCTGGAGCCCCCCAGCTCTTACCTGAGGCTGCTCGTGCACGAAGGGATGAAGAAAGATGAGAGGCAATGAAGCTTTTGGGGACAGCAGCACTTTTATACCCTCTCTGCACACCCCACATGGAGAAGCCCCTCCCTGTCCCGTTCATTTAATTCGCCGGTGGCTTTTTAATATTTTTTTTTTGTTTCTTTTTGCCCTCCCCATTTCTGGGGCTCCTGGGGTGACTCACCTGATGCACACTGGGATTGCCTCTCCTTGTAGGTCGCCTTTCCTGTCCACAGAGCTTTAATTGCTGTGCAGGGCTGGGCTGGGGGAGCCGTGGGTGGCCCCGGTTTCCCCAGGTCAGGTTTGGTGTCGATCACACCCCATGAGTGATTCAGGTTCAGGGGGAGAAGATGTAGGAAGATGTCTCATCCCCAAACCACAACTTCCCTCCAGGATGTCCTGAGGTTCTCTGGGCCTGCAACTCCCCCAAAAACCAAAATGGGCCCTGAAGTGGCAAAAACAGCTTTGGGAAAGGAGAAAACTCTGATTTTGCAGGAATTCCCTGCGTGCTGGGGATGGTGAGGGGAATGTCCAGCGCTGTGGGCATGCACGGCAAGAGGGGCTGGAGTGGTTCCAGAGAAGGGAATGGAGCTGGAGAGCTCCTGAGGGAACTGGAGGAGCCCAACCTGGAGAAAAGGGGGCTCAGGGGGAATTTCTGACCCTGCACAACTCTGACAGGAGGGTAAGGTTGGAATCAGGAGGAGTTTTTTCCTGAAAAGGGCAGCCAGGCCTTGGAAAAGGGGTTTGGAGTCACCAGGAGGTGTCCAAGGAAGGCCTGGCCATGACCCTCTGGGTTTGGGATAAGATGGGCACAGCTTGCACTGGATGGCCTTTGAGGGCTTTTCCAACCTCAGGGATTTTAGGATTTGCCTGGAATCACCTTTGGCTCATTCCTCTTAAAACTGATCAAAACACGGTGAGGCGATGAGGAAACTCCAAGGTTTCCTGCCATTGCCAAGATCTCAAGCAGCTGGAATTCTTATTTTTGGAAGGAATAAGCCCTGCCCTGGGTAACGATCCAGGATTAGCAAGGTGCTTAATTATATGGTTGAGCCTCAACCTGGGAATGAATCCATGGTTTTATTCCAGGTGAGCGGCTCTGGTGCTGCTGGAGGAGGAGGAAGAGGAGGAGGGGGAAGAGGAAGAGGAGGAGGAGCCCTCGGCCACACACAGTTGTGGGCAACTGGCAGACCCCTGTGACTTTCTCCAGAGCTGCAGGAACGCCCTTTTTGCATTTCCCCTGATCCCCAATTAGCTCCTAATTGGCCAGCAAATCCCGGATGCTCAGCCCCACACGGAGAACTCATGAGAGGCAATGATTTGGGATACTCCCTGTACCTTTCTGCTGCGTGGGCTGGGAATTCTTTAGGAGCATGGAGCTTGTTTGCCTCTTTTCTGTCACTGATTATGGAAGACGTTGCAATCGTTAAAAAGGAAGCGAAAAAAAGGCTGAAATCTGGATTTTCCCATCTGGACAGTGGTTTTATTAGTGTGGAAAGGCTTGGAAAACACTGGGTGGGAAATATTTTCCTTCCTCCCAAGCTCTCCTGCCTTTGATTTGTCATTGTCCATGTTGATTTTATGGAGATGGAGACTGAGTGGTTCCTTCCATCCAAACCCCATCCACATTTGCTGGTACCAAAAACGAAGGATTTTGGGAAATTTGGGAGGACAGGGCAGGTGAATGAACCAGGTGAGCAACCTGAAGTTTCTTTTGTGTTGCTAAACTCCTGCCATGATCTAGGACAGTGTCAGGACAAAATGTGCCTGGGTTTGGTCGCTGCTCTTCAATTGAGTTTTGTTCTGGCCTCAGCGGAAATGTGGTCAGTGACCTCTGGGGAAAAAAACACTCCAAGGAATTTTTGGCTCTTGGCACCTCCCTGTGTTCATTTCCCCGTGTTTTAATTGCTCTGGGTTTGTTAACAATGGGCACTTCTACATTTTGTGGTTGGCCACCTTGATGTGCCTTGAGTTTTGAGATGGGGGGCTCAAGGCAAACCCCAAATTTGGACCAAGAGCCTTCCCGAGCCATCCCTGCTCCAAAAACAGGGAGTGAGCTGCTGCCTGCACCCTTTTCAGCAATGCCAGAAATTTCTGATCCTCCTGACGCACTCAAGAACAATCTTATCACGGTAACATCCATTTCATGAATGGCAATACCGGAGCAATAAATTACCCAATTCGTTTTAATTACAAGCTGAGAAGAAATTTAGCTGCTCGTTGCGTAACCATCGAGCAACGCCCCTGGCACAACCCAGAGCTCAGGCAGGGCTGGGCACAGCGTTTCTAGAAAGGCTGGCTGGGGGTTTGCCACCAGCACATGGAGGTACCTTCCTCAGGGGCAGCATTTTGGGGCCAAATGGCAAAAAAAAGGAAATTCTTTGTCTACAGGACTCTTTGGTTCAAAACATCTTGGAAATTATGGATTGTGATGGCTCAAATGAAGTCACAGACTGATCCATACACAACAGTGCCAGCTGAGCAAAGCGTTTATTTCAGCAGCCACAGACAAGCTCAGGATAGGTTACAGGGCACACCAGGGGAGGGGAAGGGACACATTGTCCTTGGGAATTGGAAATTCCTGGGTGCATGCAAAGCTCTCAGAACGTGGCACAGGATCCAGGGCACTCCTGTGGATCACCTGCAGCAGGTGGGGCGATCACTTCATGTTTGAGGACACTTGGTAGATTTGCTGCTGGCACTCCTGTGGCCTCCCATGGCAGGATCCCCCACTGCTGCCATGGCAACCAGATCCGCTGCTGCCATGGCAACCAGATCCGCTGCTGCCATGGCACCCAGATCCGCTGCTGCCATGGCAACCAGAACCGCTGCTGCCACGGCAACCAGATCCGCCACTGCTTCCATGGCAACCAGATCCGCTGCTGCCATGGCAACCAGATCCGCCACTGCTTCCACGGCAGCCAGACCCACCACTGCTACCATGACAACCGGATCCACCACTGCTCCCATGGCAACCAGATCCGCTGCTCCTTTGGCAACTGGATCCACCACTGCTCCCATGGCAACCGGATCCACCGCTGTGGCAGCAGGAACGTTCCTGCTGGTGGCACTGGTCCTTGTCCTGGCGGGAGCACATGGCTGGAAACCTGCTGGAGAAACTCATCTGTGAGTGAGGGCAATGAGCAGGGACGCTGGAAGTGTGCAAGGCTGTGGGAAAGGTTTTACAGCGATTTCTGTGAGCCAGAGAGAAGTTTGAGAAGAGGATCTGTGTTCAAGCCTGAAAGGATTTTCTATCATGGTTGTTGACACAGAAATCAAGAAAGAAAGAAGGAGAAATGAGAGAAATCTGCAACTGCCTGTTCCAATGAGCACTTTGTTTGTCTCTCGTGACAAAAAGTATATTTTATAAGTTTTGTAAGAATGTATAAAAGGCATGCATGGTGTAATCAAAATGGATTGAAGCCTTCTGAAAATGGAGAGTTGCTTTGTATTGTCTCCGTCTCAACCACAACACAAGGCTGTGTTGGATGGGACTTGGAGCACCCTGGGGTGTGCTAGTGGGGGGTGTCCCCAAAATCAGTGAGCAGATTTTAAGGTGTTTTCTATCCCAACCCATTCCATGACTCCATAATTCCATGATTCCACGGTTCTAAGCCGAGTTCTTGAGCAGGAGAAGAGTTATCACTGCACACCTGCCCGTGGTGGCCCCTTTGGTCTTGCATGTCAGAAAAGAGCTGGACAGACTCCAGAGCAAGACCTACAGAGCCCTCAACCACCTGAGCCAGGAATTTTTACGTTTTCCCGCTCAGCAGAAGGACTGAGATGGAGATTAGACATGGAAGAGAAGTCCCCAAGAGGTCAGGATTGGGGAGAAGCTGGAGAACATTAGGAGGGTAAAAATCGGATGGATCTGGACTCACCTGGATCAGAAGGAGCTCGAGAGGTGACGCTGAGGAGCTGAGATGCTGAGGAGCAGCGCGAAGTGTGGGCTTTTAAAGGCTGGCTTGGGCTTCTCCTCCGGAAATGAGCTGGGGCCCCACTGGAGGGACCTGATTGCTCAGCACCCCGAGCACTTGGCTAATTGGGAGTTTTTGCTCTGCTGTTTTGACACACAGAGCTGATCGATATCCTGACATCCCTCTCGTTACTCCATAAAAATGTTAATTGCCCACCACGCCTGGCCTGGTGGGGCGCGGGGCTGGGAGAGTTTGGGATGGTTTTTGTCACCTTTGATTGTGGCATTACCTGTTCTTTGTGCCCAAATCCTGAATTGAGATAGGACAGATGTTAGAGGGTGGGAGGTGGGATTATGGGGTCTGATTGTGGGGTTGTAAAGGAAAGCCAGAAATAAACAGGAAAGGGAAAAAAATGGCCGCAGTGGTGGGTAACAAAAATAATCATAATTGGACAGGGCATCAAAGAAACACCAAGAATTCTGAATATAGTCAGCAAAGAAACACTAAAAGCAGTGTTGGTATTTTTCAAGCCTGTCCTTTCTTTACTATAGAGTTTTCAACCCAAACAGAAGGAATTTAAAGCCCACAGGATGGAGAAAACATCTTGGTGGGAGTGGGAGGACATTGGGATCTGCGTCTTACACACTCTGCTTTGGGGATAAAAGTGTCTTTGTGCCCGTGGAGAGCTTCAGGTCTCATCTCCTGCAGGACGCTACAGGCCACTGTGATATTAAAACCAGCATGGATTGAATGAAAATTAAACACAGAGTCCAGGAGACCCTTTGGTCCCCAGAGGAGCTGAATCACTGGAACTGATAGATGAGGAAATCTGAATTCCTCACTTGGGATATTTCACAAACATTGGGAGAATGGAAATCCTTGTGAAACTCATTATTCACGATTAATTACAGCCCTGGTTCCGTGATGGGGATAAACCTGTTCCATCGATGGAGGCAAACACCTGAGCAGGGCCCAGGGGGCACCCAGAGCTTGGGCAGGGCTGGGCACAGAGTTTCTAGAAAGGCTGGCTGGGGGTTTGCCACCAGCACGTGGAGGTACCTCCCTCAGGGGCAGCGTTTTGGGGCCAAATGGCAAAAAAAAGGGGTTTTTTGTCTATAGGGCTTTTTGGCTCAAAACATCTCAGAAATTGTGGATTATGGTGGCTCAAATGAAGTCACAGACTGATCCAGACACAACAGTGTTGGCTGAGCAAAGCGTTTATTTCAGCAGCCACAGACAAGCTCAGGATAGGTTACAGGACACACCAGGGGAGGGGAAGGAGACATTGTCCTTGGGAATTGCAAATTCCTGGGCATATGCAGAGCATTCATAACGTGGCACAGGATCCAGGGCACTCCTGTGGATCATCTGCAGCTGGTGGAGCCATCACTTGTTAACTGTGCTTCCTATGTTGATGGTACTGCAGCTATTACCACAGATGTTTCCTGTATTGAGTCCTAGGTTTCCGTTTCCATTAAACCTGA